AGAGAAATTCTGCGCCCACCTGGCTAAGTGAAAGCTTCACAAGTGAAAAAAACTTTTCACCAGCTCTGCCTGAAACTGCGCATCAAAGCGGTCCTTTGTTCCAGGATGGCTGGGCACCCTGCCCGTCTCAGTCACCGGACGGGAATGTCCCCCGCCCCACGCCGCAGAGGAGCGGTACCTGGCTGCCTGCAGCGGCTTGTCCAGCGCCGGTGCTCGCGGAGGCGGCGGAGGAGCGGCGGCCGCGGCGCTGCGCGGCTCCGTCTGCCGCGCTGCCCCGGGAGCGAGCAGCGGCGCAGGCACCCGGCGCTCGGCAGCCAACCACACTGCGGCAGGGGGAGGGGAGGGATGCGGACAGGCTCCGGGAACAGGACGGTCGGACGCTCTCCTGGGAGCGCAGAAAGCGCCACGCACGCCAAACTCACAGCTCCCTCCTCAGGGATCCACGGCAGCGCCCAGGACCAGGGCCGAGCCCCCGTGGCGCCGCAGCCAAATGCTGCTCAAGGAGCACTGGCCATCATCGGGCTCCTGCTCAGCCCACCAAAGCCCTGTTCCATCCCACCCTCCATCCTGTGGCGGAAGGTTTTACATGCTGTTCGGTACCACCCTCGCCTGTGTCGCCACTGCTGACCCCATCCCAGCCCCTAAAGCCAAGCTGGTGTAGCTGCAGAGCTCCAGCTGCATGGTTGCTATCGCTGTGCCCACAGCAACTGGCCAGGAGATCTGGCAAGGCTGGAGCCCTGTTATGCCCACACTGCGCAGTGTGGGGCTCGGCCGGGTACTGCTGGGAAGCGCTTGTTCAGTCTTTGGCTGTTCTCAGAGAGAAGACAATGACATAGGATTCAGCTCGGATTGCTGCTACAGCCATCACATCCATGGTAACACACAACTATCATGGTGCTCCCTACGATGTCCCCAGCTACCTACATCTGCCTGAACCAATGCTGCACCGGTGTTCCTGTCCCTCCTCACGGATTCCCTCAGAAGGGGAAAGGGCCCAGGTGTCCCAGGAGGAATAGCCCAGCCATGTTGACACGCAGGCTCTCTCTTGCCTCATCTCACAACACGTATTTCTTTCCTAAAGCACCTTGCTGTCCTCCGTTCCCTAGTTCTGGAGGACAAACCCGTCTGGCTGTGGGGTACGTACAGCTATGGAACACTTACATGTCGCATAAGTTACATAGTAGGAGCGCAAACATACATTATTTGTGTTACAGTGAAAGCCAGTCCTGGCAATGAAGACGCAGACTAATTATAGAACAGTGAATCCCGCAGTCTGTGCCCACAGCACCCTGGAAACAGCCATGGCCGGGACTTGGGGCTGACCCACAGCTGCCACACACAAACTCCGCTCCTCCCTCGGGGGCTCCCGGCCTCCGCCCGCCATCCCTGCTTGGCACTCGGCCCTGCCCGCGGGGAGGCCAGGCGCTCCTGGCCAGGCGTACCGGGAGCTGCCCGAGCAGAGCGGGCACCGGCAGGGCTCCCGAGCCAGCGGCTCCCCCGGTGATCCGCTGAAGGAGGCTGATCCCGCAGGGCGCGCCTCGCCGGCTCCAAAGTCCGCAGAGCCGGCAGCACCCTTAGCGACGACCCCGCAGCGTTACGGCGGGCACGGCCCGAAAGCTGCCCTCGCCCCCGCTCGTTCCGCTGCCCCAGCTGCCAGGGCAGGCTACCACGGTCCCCGAACCACGCCAGCCGCAGACCCACTACAGGGACCTCCCCAGCTGCCCGCAAGGGTCCCACCGCCCCCCAGGCCGGCGGGGGAGCGTCGCCCCGGGAAGGCCGCCCCCGCTCCGGCCTGCGCCGCCGGGCTCCGTGTGTCCTCCCCCCGCCAGGGCCGCCGAGGGGAGCGATCGAGCCCCCGTAACCCCGCCCGTCCAACCTGCTCGGCGCAAGACCTCGATGGCGGCCCCCGTCGCTGTCCCGGTCCCGGCGGGGGCGGGGCGAGACCCGCGGCCGGCACCACCCGCCCTCTCAGCGGCGCAGCCCCTTTAAATCCAAGATGGCCGCCGCCTCCGCCTCTCCGGTGGGAGCGCGCCACCTGCCGGCGGCCTTTGCTCGGGCCCGCGGCGGCCCCGCCCCGTCCGGCGGAGCTTTCCCGCGGCCATGGCGGCGCTGGGGCTCTGCCGCGCCTTCGGGGCGCTCCTGCTGTCGGCGGGTCCCCGCCGGGCCCGGCCCCCGGCCCTGCCGCCCGGCCCCCAGCCCTGGCTGCCGGGGCCGGTGTCGGTGCCTGCCGCCTGCCGCGGGCTGGGCGGCTCGGCCCCGCGCTGCACCACCGACCCGCTGTGGAAGTGCCGGGCCAAGTACACCGTGCGGCCCGTGGGCATGAAGAAGACGGGCGGCCGCGACCACACAGGTGGGCGGGCGGGCGGGCGCAGGAGGGCTGCCGGGGCCGGCTGGGCGGGGGGGGGG